TAGTGTGTGTGTGTGTGTGTGTGTGTGTGTGTGTGTGTGTGTGTGTGTGGTGGGGGATCTGATCACAGGCTTCAATTATGTTAAGAGCTGTTATAAAGAGGCTGGTGATCAATTGTTCTCCATGTTCACTGGAGATAGGACAAGAAATAATGGGCTTAATCTGCAGCCAGGGAGATAAACTCCAGATTAGGCTTCCAAGGGAGGTTGTAGAATCCCCGTCATTGGAGGTTTTTACGAACAGGTTGGACAAACACCTGTCAGGGGTGGTCTAGGTTCACTTGGTCCTGCCTCAGCGCAGAGGACTGGACTGTTTGAGGTTGTCTCCAGCCCCCCATTTTTATCTTCTTAGCATATGCACAACATGCCTCAGGTGGCCCGTGACCAGCATTCATTATCAGTTTGGTCCACTGATTGGATCATTAGCTTCCCGGCTTGGGCTGGGTACTGACGGGGAGTGCGTCATGAATGCTGATCCATGACCCCAACTTAGTCCCTGCGGGGTGCCCCCTAGAATCTAGTCTCTGTTCCAGCCAATAAGTGCTTGCAGGGTTCCAAGCCAAGCTCAGTTAGTGGCTCTTATTGGGGCCCCGGTGCCCTGGCTTCCTGCCCAGCTACTGTTCCTCCATGAGTACCGTACAGACCTGCACACGGCTGTATCATCTGGCAGTCTCAGCCTGTTCCGCATGTGTCTCTGTCCACAGAGTCTGGGGCTTCTCTCCTGCTGCTGTGCAGCTCCCATTCCCAAAACAGAACCTGGCCACATCCTAGTTCAGGACCTGCCTAGGGGAAAGGGAAGTACAGTGGGATGGGGCTGATGGGAATTGTTGTTTCCTTCTTTGGGAAGCCTGTGTGATGGATCTGCATCCAGTCAGCTCTGGATGGACCATTGCATGCATGTTGTGACCTGTCAAGGCTCTGGCTGCCACCTCTATGCTGAAGATGAGGGCAGTTGCAATCTGCTCTATTTTATGCACATCAAAGGCCAGATTGCAAAAATTGTGCACAGTTTCTATGTGCAAATACAGCTGTGTGCACAATTGCAGGAAGTGTATGAACAACTAACCAGTTACCTGCTTGACTGACAATTGGTATGCATGAATTATGCCGATGGGTTTTTGCACATGCAGTTCTGAAAATCTGAGCCTGAAGTGGGCAAAGTTTGGGCATTACCACTGGGGCATCAGGGAACACTTTTCACCTAATTTATTCTAGACCTGTCCTCAAATGCAAAGGGAGAAACAGATATTATCCCCTGTAAGAAATGTTCAGTTAGCTTGTTTATTCATATGAAAAACAAGCATTTGGTGAGTAGTGGCCAGGGAGAACATGTGTGCCAGGCCTCAGCCACTTACCATCAAACACCCTTCAAAAAACAGCAGACAAAAGTAGAATGAATAATGGGCAGCTCTGAATTTTGGGGCCTGGAACCTATTGGGGTCTTTGGGGGATGTTCAAAATCAGAGAAGGAATCTCGAGTCACTCAAATTCCCCCAATGTGGAATTCTGAATGGGAACCCACCTTCCATTCCTTGCTCCAGGCCTGTCTGCCCTGTGCTGGGACCAGAGCAGGTTTGCTAAGTGCTTCTGTGCAGATAGACATCGTTAAATCACCATGGTTGCACAAGTTGCTGTGTATGGGAAACCAAATGCACATAATAGAGAAGTTTGGGCTGTGATGACATCATGTCTCTGGGATCTAGAATTCACAAAACAAAATCTGCAAAATGTTTATTTAGTTCTGTCACCCTAGCTGGCCTGGGAGCTGCCATCTAACGGCAGCACAAGGGCTGCCCAGACTAGGAGGACAAAGGGTGGGGTCCTTCAGGAAAGCTGGCTAGGAATAGCTCCCTAGAGCCTCCCCACTCTGGTGACTGGGGCATGTCTGCACTGAGCCATTGCTTTCTCCTCTCTCTCCATTCCAGGCTGCTGTCTATCAACCTGACCAACTGCAAGTATGAGAGCGGTGAGTGGAAGGCAAGCCAGCGCTCCTGTTCAGACCATATCTCACTGTGGCAAGTGCTGTGGACCCTCCCTCCCTCCCCCCGGCTGGAGAAGGCTGGTAGCACTGGGTTTGGGCTGCGCAATGGCTTTAATGGATTCATTGCTGTTTTGGAAGTGACTTTTGCCCTGGTGAAAAATGCCAGCTTGACCAGACTTCGGGCTGAAGCTCTCTCTGCATTTAGTGGGTACAGCTCTGGTCACAGCACTGGGAGCTTCCCACCCACACTGGCTCTGCCAGTGCGTCTCACCCCTGGTCTGGAGAGCCCTACCCCTCTAGGGATGCCAGGGGAGTTCAGTCTTCATAGCACATTCTCTACCAAGATTGCCAACAGGGGCTCAGGTAGTGCCAATTGTGAGGCAGATGTTTGCAGTGTTGACACTCGTGCATTGAAAACTATGCACTCCTTTCACTTACAGTAGAACACTGAGCAGCCTGGGATGGCAGTGATTTGCATATATGACTGGCCTGAGCTGGATCTGTGCAGGAGACCCCTCCCCTCCCCTCCAGCCAGTGCCTCCAGGAATGAACTTTGGGCAGGTGGTTTAGGATTCTCACCTTACTCCTCTCTGTGGGAGGGAATGGTGTTAGAATACATATGACAGCATCTCTGTCCGGGTGGCTATTGGCAGTTATTGGTTAATGCCAATTATACACAAGTTCCGTATTATGGAGCACAATCGCTGTACTGAAAGTTACAGTCTCATCTGCTGTGGAGAGAACACAGAGTTTCTAGATGGAATGGTGGGCACTGGATGCCTCCCCTCTGGGAGATGCCAGATACTATGATGATGGGCACCTTCTAAGAAGCTGAGGTGAACTGGGCACCTCCAAAGATCTGGGATCAGGCCTCTGCCCCCTTCCTGGGACCACCAGACAAATGCGCTTCCAGGGTTGACATATTTCATTAGTCCAGGAGTGAGATCCAGTGGACAGTTCAGCTAAGGGAGGGGTATGTTCCTTCTGCTTTCCCCAGGGTCCCACCGTGTCTTTCTCCCCTTTGGAGGTGTGGGTGGAAGTCCTGGGGCGTTCCTTCCTTTGCCTGCCTCTTCCCATCTACTTCAGCTGAGAGATGTGTGAACTCTTGGGGCCCATCTCCCATGCCCCACTTGGAGATGCCTCTTGCCATGTGCTTGTTTTGCTACAGTGCGGCGTGCGGCCCGACACTGTGGCCTAAAAGAAGTGGGGGAGGATGAGGAGTGGACGGTGTACTGGACTGACTGCTCGGTCTCTCTGGAGCGCGTCATGGACATGAAGAGGTTTCAGGTAAAGACCCCTCCGTGGACAGACCACGAGTGGGAGGAGCTCAGGCAAGGAGGACGAGGGAGGAGTTGGTTGGATGTCATGTGGTTCAGTGAAGTAGAGTATCCAAGGTCAGCATCGGTGCTACCCTTCTGTTACCTATGGGACAATCCCCACAGCCTATCCATGTCTGTACCAGGGAGAGCAGGATCCCGGCAGCACCCCGAGCCTTTGCCCCGTTAGTACCCCTGAGGTGGTGCCATCAGCCACAGGTTGAAGGACAGCTGGAGAGCTGCCATCCTCTGTTGCTGAGTCCTTGTTCAGCTCATGGTTCTTGTTGATCAGCTGCTCCGCTCCATGAATCATGCTGTTCTTGGAGAGCGGAAGCCACAGGTTTGAGAGAAGAGGGAACACATCTCACGCTGCTGGGGCTCAGAGTAAGCACACCTAGCAGGGCAGCTGTCTTCCTGTCCTGTTCTTCCCTGAACCGACTCACATTGGCTCTGAAGGGTTATCACTTCTGCTCCTTTTGCTGACTTGTCCTTTCCGCTGCACATTGTTTCAGAAAATCAACCATTTCCCGGGGATGACAGAGATCTGCCGGAAGGACCTGCTGGCCCGCAACCTCAACCGCATGCTCAAACTCTTCCCCAAGGAGTACAGCATCTTCCCCCGCACCTGGTGCCTGCCTGCTGAGTGAGTGACCAGCACTGCCAGGCCAGCCAGCAGCAGGACAGGTGGACGCTGTCTGCAGGGAAGGGAGGTCAGGGTAGTGGGAACCACTGAACTTAGCTTCCATGGGGAAAATGCTTTCTGGAGCATCCGCTGCTGACTCTGGGCCTCAGTAGCCTTCCTTGGGATGTAAGAAGATGTGGCTCTGTATTTAGAGAGTCCCAGATCTCGGAATGTAATCGCGTTGTATTAGGTTGTGGAATCGTTCTCCTCAGGGAAGGGGTAGGAGCCCCATCCCTAGAGGGATTTAAGCCTGAATTGGACTAAGCCCCGGGAAATAGACTGCAAAGGAATCCTGCCCTGGCCCTCAGTGGACAGAGGGATGAGCCTAAAAGGTCATTTTTGCCTCTGACTTCTGTGATTCTGTGGGATTTCCCCTGACAGTCCATGCGCACCCCTCCTTGGTCAGCTGGAGGGGTCCTTCAGGGTGGTGTGCAGGACCTGGCCGCCCCCAGGCGGAGCGTGAGGCTCAGTGCTGGCCTAGGAGGGATGGACTGGCCATGTGTCTGCAGTGGTGCCGTGGACTCAGCTGCCCGCCTCCCAGCACACAAGCACCCCTGGCCTTGCCCTTTGCTGGGGCGGGGTGGGGGGGGGCTTTCAGCGCACAAGCCAGAAGAGGGCTGGAAGGGATCACAGCAGCGTGTGGTGAGGCGTCAGTTCACAGGCAGATGGATCAATAATCTGTGGACAGGGTATTCAAACTGGGGCCTGAAGCAGCTCCAGCTTCATATTTAGGCATCTAAATAAGTGGCCTGACTTTCAAAATTGAGGCGCCCAGCAGCTGGCATTGGAGCCAATCAGTGTGCGGCAATCTCTGGCCTCCTCTCACGTCCATCCCTGTCCTGACTATGCCCCAGGTCAGAGCACCCTGGCCTGGGCCTCCGGCCTCCTCTCACGTCCATCCCTGTCCTGACTATGCCCCAGGTCAGAGCACCCTGGCCTGGGCCTCCGGCCTCCTCTCACATCCATCTCTGTCCGGTTTGGCAAATGTGTTTTCAGGAGAGCCCGCAGGAAAGCCGCCATTGTAGTTTATTGTTTCGTTCTCCTTTGTGGCCAAGGGTTGGTTAGTTTCCCCCTGCTCCCTCCACAGTAGTAGAGCTAAAACCTTGCTGGGTCCTGACTAGGCAGCAGCTGCCGTTTCGTTACCCTTTCTCTGTGGCGGAGGCGGAGATATTAACCCAGCAGTGCTTAGAGCCATAAGGGCTTTCTCCCCCAGGCTGTGATGAGACAGTGATAAATAATGTTCTTCAGGAGTAGCGCAGTGCGGTGCAGGACTGCTCTTCTCGCTGCCCCACCAATGCTGAGCCCTACATGGCCCAGCATGCAGTGCTCCAAACAGCCACCGGAGAGTCCTGCAGCTCTAACAGTCACTACTTCTTCATTACATAGCTATGGGGATTTCCAGGCCTACGGGCGCATGAGGAAAAACAGGACGTACATCTGCAAGCCAGACAGTGGCTGCCAAGGGAGGGGCATCTTCATAACCCGCAACCCAAAGGAGATTAAACACGGGGAGCACCTGATCTGCCAGCAGTACATATCCAAGGTAACGGGGCTCCCACTGTCCTGGAAAAAAGGTGTGAGCTTCTGGCCTCCCGTGTCCCATGCCCCACTACTGCCAGCCTTCCACTGTGAAAGCTCAGCCAGCAGCATCGGGGTTGCCACCTCCCAGCAAGGCCATCGCCAGGCTGTCCTCAGCATTTCTCCTTCCCAGCTGAGAATGCAGAGCCTGAGCCATGCAGCCAGCAATGCAACTGTATCTCACGGGCACTCCCCCCTTTTCTCTCACAGCCCTTCCTTATCGATGGCTTCAAATTTGACCTGCGTATCTACGTCCTGGTCACATCCTGTGACCCCCTGAAGATTTTTGTCTATGAGGAAGGGCTGGCCCGGTTTGCCACCATGAGGTACATCGAGCCCAGCAGCAGCAACCTGGTAAAGAAGGGACGTTTCCAACAACTGGCGTAGCGTCAATAGGATTAACACACACTCGTCCTAAGGGCACGCAAACCACTGGGAAGTCAGGGCCTTGTTCTCTTCTGCTCCCGCCTCTGTTCTGCCTTTTCCCCCCATTCCTTTTGCTCCATGTCAGGATGGTTATTTCAGGAGCTCCAGGATCCTCAGCCCCCATTCCCTGCGGTCTGCTCTGCCCAGGCTACAGGGGCTGAACAGGGTGATTATCCCGAGGGCGGGAGGCAAGATGGAGAAGGGAAGGGAAATGGAGAAGTACTATATGGAGATATCCCTATCTCATAGAGCTGGAAGGTCATCGAGTCCAGCCCCCTCCTTCACTAGCAGGACCAAGTACTGATTTTGCCCCAAATTCCTAAATTGCCCCGTCAAGGATTGAACTCACAACCCTGGGCTTAGCAGGCCAATGCTCAAACCACTGAGCTATCCCTCCCGCCTCGTTGGGCTTTGTACCTTACACAGCAGCACCCAGAGGTGGAGTCCATCCAAACGCCACTGGCAAGCGCTCATCCCAAGCTGTTGCCTCGGCTGGGAAGAACTCCAGCTAATCTGTGCCGCATACCTAGAGCCCTGCGCGATGCAAAATTTGTATCCGCATCCACCGCAAACATGGTCTGTGGATGTCTGCATCCATGGATGTGGATAGCCGTAGATATAAAGTGGATATCCGCAGATTTGCAGGGCTAGGCACATGCCTACCTACAGACACAGCCCGCTCCCTCTAGTAGCTGAGTGTCTCGGGGGGTGCTCTGTTTTGGGATGAATAAAGAAAAGGGGCAGATTCTCTTCTCTGCTCCACTTGCAGAAATTGCCTGCACCTCCTGTGCTGGGGGGGCAGCATGGGACAGACCCCAGTGGGCATAGATCCAGTGTAGCCCACTCCTCAGCACTGACATGGGGTATGCAGAGGACGGGGGCATGGCTCTGGCTATCTCCAGGTGGCAGATGGTTCCGCAGAAGCCATTGCCACCAGTCCCCACGCAGCTCTAATTTGTGCTGGGGGGACAATCTGAGCGATGCGTCCAGGACCAACTGGCTGCTGCTGCACCAAGCAGATTTCAGCCACAGCAGGCTCTGGCCACGTGTTCATAGGTTTGTGCGGTTTTGAGGCTGACCTGAAATCAGGCATCTCAGAGTGGAGGGGCGAAGAGTTTCGGCCTGGGGTGAAGGAATGGCTTTGGGGAGGGGAGGAGGTGGTGGTGCTGGGGCAGAGGTGAGCGGCAGTTACCGGATAGAAGGCTAAGCATTGCTGGACATCTGGGGCCTCTTGTCTCTCACTGGCACTCGGAGATTGAGTGTGAAGGTCTCTTGCTGTCCCTCCCTCAGGACGATATCTGCATGCACCTGACCAACTATGCTATCAACAAACATAATGAAAACTTCATCCGAGACGACATGATGGGCAGTAAGAGGTACCATCCTGCCTATGCCACCAGAGCCCCTCGTTCACTTCCTGCTGGGAGGCCATATTGATGGGGCTGGCATGCTCCCTTCATTGGGCAGCATGCCATAGCAGCTCACCCCGTGTGAACGTTCTCTTTTAAAGTCACTTAGGTGGAGGTCACCCACTTCAGTGTCTTGGGTTCCTGGTCCAACTGTCTCTTTGCTTGTTAATTCTGAGCACAGAACTGTCCCCTCAGTGGGTCCTGTATCTGGGGTGCCTCTGGGGCTTGCTGGCTTTGTAAGAAGCAGCACCGGGGCTCAGTCCCCTGAGTTCCCCACGCCTTTCTGACCCATGGAGCCAGTGTGGTGACATTGCTTGCTACTGCTGCAGAACCACTTTGACTTGGACAGCTCTGATCACCGCCTTGTTCCCCAAACAGGAAACTGTCTACCTTAAATGCATGGATGATGGACAACAGCTACGACACAACAGAACTCTGGGAAGACATTGAGGACATCATTATAAAGACCCTTATCTCAGCCCACCCTGTTCTGAAGCACAACTACCGCACCTGCTTCCCCAACCACATCACTGGCTGTGCCTGCTTTGAGATTCTGGGCTTTGACATCCTGCTAGACAGAAAGCTGAAGCCCTGGCTGCTGGAGGTGAGTGAAAACCCCGCCGGTGGCCTGGAACTCTCCCCCTCTGCACAGCAGATGGTTGAGGGCTTTTGTCGCCCAAGGAGAGAAGTAGAACTAAAGCCTGGGGCAAGTTGCAGAGGGTTTTAGTTTGATTGATGCTGCCACCTGCAATCTCTGCAGCACTCCATTAAATGAGGAGCTCTGGAGGCAAATAGACAAGTAATCTACACTCCACAAGGAAATGTCTTCCCCAAGTTCCTGGGGTAATAACGGGGGACTCCCCTGAGTCACAGGGCTGCGTGGATCTCTGCAGCACCATTCAGAACCTGGGGTGGCCTCCTCAGTGTCCCTGGGCGGCCAGTGAGGGGCCAGGAAGTGATACCTGCAGCCTGGCTGATCTTTAGATGGCACTTTGTGCCAGGAAAGCAGCAACAGCAAACGTCAGCCCCACACAGCAGCGGGATGCTTACTGTTATGGCCGGGATAGGAAAGAGGGCAGCTGTAGGACGGGGCTGCCTGAGGGGAATGAAGGAACACGAGGTGGGGAAGGATCTGAGGCCAGCAGCAGATTGCTAGAGTTGCACATGTGTATGTTGGACTAGCCATTTGTCTTGGCAGGTGAATCACTCTCCCAGTTTCACCACGGACTCACACTTGGACCGAGAGGTGAAGGACGCTTTGCTCTGTGACGCCATCAACCTGATAAACCTGCGAGCATGTGACAAGAGGAAGGTGCTGGAAGAGGACAAGCGACGGGTGAAGGAGCGACTCTTCCAGGCCCACCAGCCACCTCGTGAAGCCAGGTGCTGCTCCCCCCAAGGAGGAGTGCTGCAGGCCTTTGGGGAGAACAGAGTAACAAGCATGCGAGGCCAAAGGCTGCTTTGTGGCCGTTTGAAATCCCTCTGAGGCTGTGGCACTGTTGAGAACATTGTCACCTGTAAGGGGAGAGGGCCCAGGCTTTCAGCATCCCAGAGGAGACCCATGATTGAGGCTCCCAGCCTCTGGGACGTGTTTGATTCCTGGTACTTTAGACTCAGCCCCGTCTCAGGTTGCTTACTACCTCTCCCATTCAGTTGTGCCTGCTTTGGTCACAGGGCCCTCCCTGGCCATCCTGGGGCACTGTACCCGGTGACACGTGGCCTTTTTCCCACAGAAGCTTTGAGACTCCAGCTTCTCCATAGGGTTGCCAACTCTGACTGAAGCTATTCCGGGAGATATTTCCCCCCCAACATGATGTAATGTCATTTTCTTAAAATATCCTATTAAAATCTCCCGGATTGCTTTCACTAGTCACCGGGAGATTGATGCCGATTTCGGGAGACTCCCGGCCAATCCTGGAGGGTTGGCAACCCTACTTCTCCACAAAGCAGCATTGCTTCCCTGCCCACTCATGCAGACATGTCTACTCACGGCTGAAGCCAATGCCCAACTGTTGAGGCCAGTTTGGATTGGCCGCCTCTCGAGGCAGGGTGGGCAGGAGCTCCCTCCCACGCACCAGTTTCAATTAATTACATCAGGTAACTAGAGCTTGGACCCGTGCTGTGCTCTGCTGCCCCTGGGTCCAGAGGTGCTAGAACTAGGGGGCTGGGGGAGCTGCCGCACCCCTGGCTTGAAGTGGTTTCCATCATATCCAGGGGTTACAGTTAGGTTCAAAGGCTCTCCGCCCCCCCACTATAAAAACTGTTCCAGCCCCGCTGCGTGGGGCTGGGCTGCCCCCTCTCCCAGGCTGGAGTGTTCACAGCTGGATGAAAGGTGGCAGGCCCAGCTGAGACACCCGAGCTCTTGTGAACTGGTACTCTTGGCTGAGAAGGGTGGGGACGGTGAGAGGAGCTCTGAGCCTCCCTGCTTTGCCTGTACTGCCCAGCTGGAGGAGATACCGACCGGGAGGGTGCATTGGCTTGGTGCAGTGAATGCATGCTGGGGTTCCCAGATGGGATGGGGAAGGGGAGAAAGGCCAGCTAGACTCCTGGACAGGCAGCATCTGGAACTTGTCCCACCCTGCTGCCTGTACAACCATCTCTAGGGATGTGTCTGCCATGGCTCCTGCTTTCATCTTTGTTTTCTGATGGCAGACGTGAGCAGTTAGAGAACAGCCAGGCGGCCTGGCTGACCCAAGCGGAGAAGTATGAGAACACGCACCTGGGAGGGTACCGGCGCATTTACCCCGCGCGGGAGACAGACAAGTATGAGCCATTCTTCAAGCACAGTGGCTCCCTCTTCCAGGAGACAGTGGCTTCCAAGGCCAGAGAGGAGTGTGCCAGGTACATTGCTCCTGTGGAAAAGCCCTCCTCATTGACTGCCATGGGGCAGAGAGTCTCTCTGCTGGGAACACCTGCTGCTGCCTGGGGTGGGGGTGGGGGTGGGGGTGAGCGCCTAGGAGAGGAGCCCTGGCTCCATTGCCAGGGGATGGGGAAGGCACCGTGTCCTCCACATAACCTCTGTGCCCTGCCTCTGGATCTGAGAGGGAGACAGGCCAGAGTCCATTGTTTATGGATTCTGGAGGTGGTTTATAGAATGCATCCTGGTGCATCTGAGTAGGCCCGTCTCCACCCCATCTAGGTGGCATAACCTGGTGCAAAGGGCAGTTCCTTTCGGGGATGGTAACAGCTCTTAAAGGCCCAGGGCCATTTCCCAGCACATTCGCCATCACAGACCCTGCTCCTGATAGCAACCCTTGGCTGTGCTGTATGTCCCCTCCATTGGGGTCAGCACAGCTTGGCACAAGATCTCACACTGAGCGGCAGTGACCAAGACTGTTGGTTCTTGCCAGGCAGCAGCTGGAGGAAATTCGCTTGAAGCAAGAGCAACGAGAGGCTACTACTGGGAAGAAGAAAAAGGAGCGAAAGGAGAACCTGCAGGGAGAGTCAGCTGGGGAGAAATCCCGCATCCGCAGCAAGGCCAAGGCTCCTCCCACTCGCCTCACCTACAACAGCGCCAGGACCTGCGACAGGAAGGTACCACTGCTCCATCCAGCGTGCAGCTCCATGGGGTGGGTCAAATGGAGCCACCTGGCACCAGGAGGAGAGCTGGGGGCACTGACATCTCCCACACCAGCCAAGGATTGAGCTGGTTTGGATAGCTGCTGACCTGTGCTGGGAGTGCTGTGAACAGCCAGCCCATGGAAGTCTATGGCCCCCCACCCCTCTTACCCCCGACTGGAGTCTGCGGCCGGGGTCTCCTTCCTGCTCCACACTGGAACTTGTGGCCCAAGCCCTGTTCCTGACCCCAGCATAGTTTGTGGCCATAGTCACTCTCCCCCCTCTGTTAGTCTGTGGCCCAGCCCCCCAGACCATGCTGTAATTCAAGGTGTATTTCTGTCCTAAGATGCAGCAGATGGTGTTTGACTCCATGCGGCCCCAGGAGATAGTGGAAGATGAGGAAGTAGAGAGGATCAAGGCTCTTCTGCAGCGCGAAAACCTCATCCGGGGTCTGGGCATCGTGGATCACCTCTCTCGACTACTCCACACAACTGAGCCCAGGCCTGTGGATGTCCACAGGCCCCACATCAATATCTCCGAGAGCCAGGTAAAGGTGGGCTGCGCCGAGGCACCTCCCAGGGCTAGTGCGTAGGTGGTGTTCTTGGTGGTCCTGCACAGACAGGAGCTGGAGGAACTGAGGACGCTGGGCACTGCTGGCCTGGAGAAGTTCCTCTGGCTGGGTTAAATGAGAATGAGGGTTGGGGCTGGGTCCTTGGGTTGGCCTGTTTTTATGTTAATTTTTCCTGTGTTCAAAAGGGTCAAAAAGTGATTCCTCAGGGGCACCTCAACAGTCCAGAGGAGGGTCCTGGAGGCACTCATCTTACCGGCATCCCATGGAACAGAACAGAGGGGACCGCTCTCTTAATATGGAAGTCCCCACAAGTCCCAGTGTGCATTACAGCCTGGTGTCCTGGCTCAAGGTTGAGCTGTGCATACTGGAACGTCTGGTCTCAGTGGCCTTGTCTTCACTAGGGAACCCAGGTGTGTTCTTCACTTGAGTTAGCTAACAGGAGTGAAAGCCTTGTGAAGAAGAGGAGCTGCCCTGCTGGAGAAGAAGGGGCTGTTGTTCTCGGCCAGCTCTACACTACAGAGTTTTGTCAGCACAGCTGTGTTGGTGAGGGATGTGAAAACACACACAGCCCACAGGCTCTGCTGGCAAAACCCCAGTGTAGCCACAGCTGTGCCCACAGACGAGCTCTCCTGCTGGCTTAGCTAGCATCATTTGGGGAGGTGGCCTTTCTACAGAGGCCAAAAAATTCCTCCTGTTGGCATAGCTCGGCGGGCATGGCTGCATGGGCAGAGATGGGCTGTGTCGTGTCGACTAGCCCATACAGTCACTCGTCAGACCTGCCCTGCCCTTGTGCTATGTTCCAGTGACCAAGCGCAGATGTGGCGAGAGGGTTCCATTCACAGTCCGCAGGGTGGCTACCATCACTGCCCACGTGAGCTCCTGCAGGCCCTGGAAATGCCTGGAATGCCCCTTCCTCTGCAGTGAACACAATTACTTTAATCTGTCGGGAAAAAAACAAGTCTGGGAAGCCAGATTCTTTGTCAGGGAAATTAGCATGATTTTCTGCTGCACTCCCTGTCCTAGTGCCAATATTCATACACCAACGAGCAGCCACAAGAGAATGGGGACCTACAGTGCTGGGCCATTAGACATCCCATAGAGATCAGATCACCTTTAGATACGGGGGCTATTTCTCCTGGTCAGTGACAAGTTTATAGCTGAAGAAAGTGAACTCTGGAGTAGCTGTCTAGCAGCTGGGAGACCTATGCAAAGGGAGCCACTAGCCCTTTGACAAAGTGGGGCTGAAAGGAGCAACAAAGACTTGTCTAAAAATTGCACCCTGACAAATGCCCATCCCTGATCTCCTGGCATTCTCTGGGGCTGCCTCTCCCAGGGAACGTGACAGCCGTCTGTAGCATGGATACTAACGGCACACACAGTGCGTGTCACGTAGCTTGAGTGCTTTAGAAACACGCACTGTGCTAAGGGTAATTAGTAAGGCCCTGTTCTCAGCGTAAAGCAAGTCACTTGGGGCTGAAAGAATGAGGAATCCTTGTGGCACCTTAGAGACTAACACATTTATTTGGGCATAAGCTTTCGTGGGCTAAAACCCACTTCATCAGATGCATGGAGTGGAAAATACAGTAGGAAGATAGATATATACAGAGAACATGAAAAAATGGGTGTTGCCATACCAACTCTAACGAGACAAATCAATTAAGGTGGGCTATTATCAGCGGGAGAAAAAAAAACGTTTGTAGTGATAATCAGGATGGCCCATTTCCAACAGTTGACAAGAAGGTGTGAGTAACAGTAGGGGGAAAATTAGCATGGGGAAATAGGTTTTAGTTTGTGTAATGACCCATCCACTCCCAGTCTTTATTCAAGCCTAATTTAATGATGTCTAGTTTGCAAATTAATTCCAGTTCTGCAGTTTCTCGCTGGAGTCTGTTTTTGAAGTTTTTTTGTTGAAGAATTGCGACTTTTAGGTCTGTAATTGAGTGTCCAGGAAGGTTGAAGTGTTCTCCATCTGGTTTTTGAATGTTATAATTTTTGACGTCTGATTTGTGTCCATTAATTCTTTTGCGTAGAGACTGTCCGGTTTGGCCAATGTACGTGGCAGAGGGGCATTGCTGGCACATGATGGCATAGATCACATTGGTAGATGTGCAGGTGAACGAGCCCCGGATGGCGTGGCTGATGTGATTAGCTCCTATGATGGTGTCCCCTGAATAGATATGTGGACAGAGTTGGCATCGGGCTTTGTTGCAAGAATAGGTTCCTGGGTTAGTGTTTTTGTTGTGTGGGCTTCTGCCTGCAAAGCTGCTGTGCCAGCTTTGGATGGGTGTGTCACAGTATCAAGCCCAGAGCTATGCTGCCATATCCAGTGCACTCCCTGGACTCCCGTGTGCCAGCAGACAGTGCTGCGGCAGAACACTGGGCACTTCAAATGGCTGCTTCAGTGGAATCCGGAACTGGGGAACATCCGAGTGAGATGAGAGGCTTGTTGGGTTTTCTTGGGCCGGCTGGTGGCTTCCTAGTCAATTCCTGAACACGCAACATGCTATGCAGCTGCAGAGATGCTTGGTCCAAACTCCAGGAGGGAGTGAAGCCAGTAGTCTGCTCGTCACTGTCTCCGTTAGTCATGACGACTGTAAAGGGCCATGGGGCTTGGCTGTTACCTGCCAGGCTGGAGACTCGACATCTGTTCTTGTGCCAGTGCTGAGTGAGAAATTTCTCGGGGCTCAGCCTCACCTCCTCTGGCGTTGACAGGCGCATCCTGTCCAGTCCTTTGCTGGCAGGGTAGGGACACATGTCAGAAAGGAGGGTGATACATTAGAAAGGGTTCACAAAAGAGCAACAAGGGTAGTGTGAGGTCTGGAAAACCTGCCTTATGGTGAGAGACCAAAGAAGCGCAATCCGTTTAGCGTAACCAATCGAAGGTTGATGACTGTCTTGAAATACCTACGTGGAACAAAGATTTCTGAGTAAAGAGCTTTTTAATCTTGCAGACTAATGTAGAACAAGTTGTAGTGGCTGGAAGCTGAAGTGAGACAAATTCAGATTAGAAATAAGATACAATTTTTTTAATAGTCAGGCTGTTTAACCATTGGAGCAGATTACCAAGGGACATGGTGGATTCTCCATCTTTTGGTGTCTTGAAATCCAGGATGGGTGTGACTGTGTAACAGAGCCACTCTAGCTGAGCCAGAAGTGGTGGGCTGCAGGCAACAATCGCTGGGTACGGTTCTCTGGTCTGTGTTGTACAGGAGGTCAGACCAGAGAATCACAATGGTCCCTTCTAGCCTCAGAATCTCTGACTGCAAGTGTGGGGTGTAAATGGGGTGAAAACACAGGGAGGATTCTCAGGGGTGTAACAGTAACAGGTTAAATAGGGGGGTTGGGAAGAAATTTCCCCCTGGTCAGATTGGCAGAGTCCTTGGAGGTTTTTCATCTTCCTCTGCAGCACGGGGCACTTGCAGGTTTAAACTAGTGGAAATGGTGGATTCTCTGTGACTTGAACTCATGATTTGAGGAATTCAGTGGCTCAGCCAGAGGTTCGGGGTCTGTTACCAGAGTGTGTGGGGGAGGTTCTGTGGCCTGTGATGTGCAGGTGGCAGGGTGGTCCCTTGTGTTCTGACCTTAAAGTCTATGAGGAGGACAGCCCTTCTCCACTCCCTAACCATGCCCCCCAGAAATTAAAACATACGTCGCTGCTCTTCTTTTCTTCCAGCCGCGATTCCTTCAGGACGTGTTTGGGAAGCGGGAGACACAGGGTTTAATGACCCTCGTCCCCCTCTCACTCCTGAGAGGCACAGTCCGGGAGTTAGGACAGCAGATCATGCAGCAGCCTGCGGCCAGGGCCCGGATGCTGGGCAACCAGGGCTTCATTCCCACCCTCCTGGGTACCCTGTCAGGCGTGGGCCAGAGCATCCCCTACCGCGCACAGTATAAGCCACAGCATGGCCTGCAGCCGCAGAAGAACATGAGCTGGTTAGGAAGCCACACTCTGGGGACACCGATGGTCACCGAGCCCTGTGCTCTGGCAAAGATACTGAACGAGGGAGGCCGGAGATTCTCCAGCGCCAGAAACAAGGTCGAAAGCCGTGAGTACAGAATCGGGGCCTGGCATACTGCTGGTGTCAGTTCTAAAGCATCCTCTCTTTTGGGAGACATAACCCAGCTCTGAGTTGCCTTCCAGGCATCTATGGCTCTCCTGTTCCCCCCATTGGTATGGTTTGGTTAGCAGGCGACCTTCCCTCGCTTGACTGGATTCCCAGGGCATTCTCCTCTGGCACAGCTGGTGACATGGTAGAAGTGTTCCATCTTCCTCGATCCAGCGCGGAGACTCTCAGAGCCTTGGGACACCATCAGTCTCTAGTCTCATAGTCAGGGAGTAGGCAGGGAAATCAAGCTCAGAATCAATGGAGACCCGTAGAGGGTGAGTCTGTGCTGGACTCTAAGGGCTGGAAGCCAGTGGAGATCTCTGTCCCTGGGGAGATGTGTTCTCCTCCCCTGCACCTGCACATGGGACCAGCTGCTGCATTGGGCATGCTGGAGCTAAGGCAAAGTGAGCAGGGTGTAAGTTCAATAGTGCTTGGGAGGTGGGGCAGGAGCAGGGAGTGGCTGCAATAATGTCTGAGGAGAGCAGTTGTTTTAGAAATGGGAGTGGACTGGGGGTGCCATAATGTCCCTTTAGACAGCTATGGCCCAAGAGTGTCTTAGGGGGTCCCAGTGAGTGACATGGCTCCAGGATATCAGTCAATAACCCTGTGTATTCCCAACCACGCTCCTGAAGGAGTGCCACTACTGTGGGCCCTGCGCCCTAGGAGGGGGTTGCACAGACACTGTCACCTGCAGGGGGACAAACTCACCAACAGTAACTCTAGTTCTCTCACTGTCCCCTCCCTAGAGCCACAGTGCCCTTCCTGCGCCCTGCTGCGGTCAGGGCTTTTGGCAGAAAAGAGGAGTTGAGGGGCAGGGTATTTATCCCCTCAGTCTTTGGAGCACTGCCCCAGCTTCCAGCCAGTGCCTTAACATGTGGCCATGTAGCCAGGCATGCTCAAGGCAAACACCAAGGGACATCTTTGGTGTTCCTCCTGGGATGCTCCAGCCCTGCATTGTGTCCCTCCTGTGCTCTTGTTTCAGATGCCCATGTCCCCAGGCGGTCCCTCCATATGGGCAGTGGTTACACCGACTCTCTGACATACCTGGCTCATGCTGGCAAGGCTCCAAATCACACGTATAGCGACTGCACCTTCCCCTCAGTGACAGACTCCCTCAACCGTGCTGCAGTCCATGAGCTAGCCATCAACTCTGCCTCTGCTCCCATCGTCCAGCGCTCAGACACCTCACACCGTGCCAATGCCATGTCCATTCTCCACTTCAACCACCACAGGTAACAGCCCTGCCTTCAACTGGCTTCCAGGGAGCTCCTCACCACTAGTGCTCACAGAGGAGCTCTTGTCCCCAGAGGAGGAGGTTTGCCCTGTTATCCTGGCCAGATTCCAGCTGGAGTACTTGTTCTTCACCTCCCCACCCCTCCTAACAAACTCCTCTTGTTGGAGTAGTGTGTTCTGTTAACAGCAGATATGTCCCACCCCAGGGATGGCTGCATTTCAGAGCCACGGGAGCTTAGGCCAGCCCTGTATAAACACTGTAAAATGGCTGGAGACCATCGGGAATGAAATCTAAATGAACAGCTGGTATTTTCGCCCATTGGAGGCATCTCGCCAGGCCCTTGCTTTGTTCTCCATGGGTTGCATTACTTGCAATGAGCAATGCTGTAAATCTGCCGAGAGCTCTTCCCCATAGTCCCATTCCTGATTCAGCAGAGAAAAGCTCCTTACCCCTCTGTCACCTGGAACATCCCTCTTTGCAATGCGGGTCCTGCTGCCATGCAGGAGCAACTCCACAGACTCCTTTACCAAGCTCTTCCCAAATGGGCTATACCTTGGCCTTACTAGATTGTAAACTCTCTAGGGTGGGGGCTGTCACTATGTTTGTGCAGTGCCCAGTACCACAGGGGGCTGGCCTCTAGGCACTGGTAAATAATGGTAATCCACGCTCCCGTAATGCTGCTGGCCTACAGGAGGGATAGCTCAGTGGTTTGAGCATTGGCCTGCTAAACCCAGGGTTGTGAGTTCAGTCCCTGAGGGGGCCATTTAGGGTAGTGGGGTAAAAAATTGTCTGGGGATTGGTCCTGCTTTGAGCAGGGGGTTGGACTAGATGACCTCCTGAGGTCCATTCCAACCCTGATATTCTATGATTCTATGCCAGAGCTGCTGTCTCGAGGCAGTTTGCATTAGAAGGGACTGCCCATGGTATTTGACTGGCTTGATGAGTGGGAGGTCAAGCCACATGGCTGAACCCAGTTTTGCTTGTTCATATCTGACTGTACAAAGGAAGCTAACGTGGGGTCACCATGCAACCTGCGGGAGTGAGGACACCAGCTAGGGCTAAATCGATATGAAACAAGAGGTGAATTGCCGCTCACCGTTGCCCATGGGCCCTGCCCTCAGGAGCTGGGATAGAATTCTGTCAGTCCCAGACCCAGAATGTCTCAGTTTAACCCTTATTTACCATTTGAAAGAAGAAGGTTTCCATCTCTTGGGGTTTCCCGTGAAGCTGGATGGGGGAAGCATTTGCCAAAGGGTCTGGCGAATGTTCAGAAACTAGGGCTGAACAAATGGATTTTGTGAGAGTGCCCCAGGTTTGGGTAATTGGTGGGTATCCTGCCCTTTGCTCCCACTACAAGCCACATGGGAGCATTCTCCACCACAATTTGTCTGCACTCAGGTATGAACAGAATCCCAGCATCCCCTCTGCCTGCAGCGCTGCACCAATGGGACTGCACCAATAAGCTTGCAGAGGGCCATAGGCGTAGCTGCTGGAACCTGTTTTTGCTCTGTAGTTTCCTCTCTCCCCAGCCTGGTTCACCTGAGCTGTGGAGGGGGAGAAGCATATTGATCCTTTGCTCTCCAGCTCTCTGGCTTCTCCAATCTGATCTGTTTGTGTCCCCCAAGCAAACCCAGACCTTCTCTCATCAGTGATCGCTTGCTTATCCCACAGGAAATGGACCTGAACCTTGGCCAAACAGTCTCTGGGGAAGAAAGGGACCAACGGCCTTGGGAATCCTGCAGCCAAAGGTGATGGCTATGCCAAAAGACTTGCTTTCTTCTGCGTGGAAGGGAGAAAAACCTCCAAGGGGCCAGGCAGATGAGGGGGAGACAAGGGAGACAGTGACCCAGGCCTGCTGCGGTGACCTGGCGGCTAGCGATGAGGACGCCGGCGTCCGCTGCAGATGAGGAGCCCTCTCAGTGGGGGCTGAGCACTTCAGAAACCATTTAGTGAGCACTCCAGAGTCACGTCTCCACTGGACAGAGCTGTTTTCAAACAATGCTGTGCAAGGGATTTTGTTAATAGTATTCGGCACCATCCTCTCCAGCCGACTTCGTCCTGTAGCTGGGATCCCCAGCCTGTAACTGCAGCCTCTCCCCCACACCTGCTGACCAGCACTGCAACAACAGGGCAGGGCTTGTTTCCTTCAGGGCTGCAAGAGTTTGTTCTTTTGTATCTGTCTTATTAAAGTTTTATACGGTTTTACAATTCCCCGTCCGTCTGTCCTTCAGCATTGCAGCAGATGGGGACTGGTTTTCCCTAGGAAGCCCTGGCTCGGATTCCTCCTTCATGGGGCTAGACCCCCCCTGGCTGGGCTGCCCTCCACACACCTTAGCAAAGGGACCTGCTGGCCTAGAGGCTGTTGAGGGCTCTCTGTGGTGCCTAGCTGCAGGAAGTAGTGTATGAGGATCAAAACGAAGTAGTTGCTTGTTCTCCTCGCCCCTTTCATTCCCTCCCTGGGCCGAGGGGCTGAGTGAGACAAAGCAACGGCCCCTCAATGCGTTCACAGGGACTGACAAATATCAGACTGGCTCAGACCCACAATCCAGCTAGTCCAGGATCCTGTTTCCAAGAGGGACTAGTACCAGATGCCTGAGAAGATGAAGAACCCCACAGGAGGCAGATGGAGGGTAATCTGCCCCATCTAGGTTTTAGTCTAATCCCTGGTCATTAAAGGTTGTTTTAAACTACGAAGCACAAGGTTTAATTTCCCTGCCAAAATACTTGTTACTGATAATGGGATATTCTGATCAGTGGTTGTATGAAAAGTGTTTCCTTTGATTGGGTTTGAACTGCCCACCTGCAATGTCACCACATGTTGTGAGATGGGGAGACCACATGCTCTTGATCTTCCTGCTCTAAACCAGTCCCTACTTTAGAGACTTTTATCACGTCCCCTTTTATCGGTCTCCTCTCTAGGGCAAGAATCTGTCTTCACAGGAGAGTTTCTCCAGGCCCCTAACTGCTCCTGTGACACTGCTGGGAGCCCCGCTAGTTCTGCTAGCTCCGTGCTGACGGGGTGGGGCCCCCCCCTGCTGGCACAGGATCCAAGTGAGGCTGCCCTGTTAGTCTGTACAGTGGCACCTCATATTTCGTATGCTCTTTGCCTGCACCTGCACACTGAGCCCAGCTGTCCACAGTGACGCCTGGGTCCCCTTCCCCATAGGCCACCTTCATGGTATTTCCCCTCGCTCGCAACACCCTGCCCCCTCTCATAGCACCCTCCATCTCCCCTGCAGCGCCCTGCCCCAGCAACCCCACATCTCCGCTGCCGTGCCCTGCCCCAATACCCCGACATCTCCCCTGCACCCCCAGATCTCCCCTAACACCCCCACATCTCCCCTGCAGTGCCCTGCCCCAGCCCCCCCACCTGATCTCCCCCAGCACCCCATCTCCCCTGCACCCCCAGATCTCCCCCAGCAACCCCACATCTCCGCTGCAGTGCCCTGCCCCAGCAACCCCACATCTCCGCTGCAGTGCCCTGCCCCAGTACCCCCACATCTCCCCTGCACCCCCAGATCTCCCCTAACACCCCCACATCTCCACTGCAGTGCCCTGCCCCAGCCCCCCGCCTGACTCTCCCCTAGCACCCCCAGATCTCCCCTAACACCCCCACATCTCCACTGCAGTGCCCTGCCCCAGCCCCCCGCCTGACTCTCCCCTAGCACCCCCAGATCTCCCCTAACACCCCCACATCTCCACTGCAGTG